CCACTTAACACTGTCAAATTAAAAAGGAGAAAATTACCTGCATTGCAAAATCTGTCGTCATACACCCGACTTTGGCACCTTGTGAGGATTCATTGTTGCCCGAAAAATGTTTTGTGATACGCTTGATGTTACGTGGCGTAATCCATCCTTCATCATCATCATCATCATCATCATCGTCGTTGTCGTTGTCATCGTCGTTGTCGCCGTCATCACTGTGACCACTGTCTTCATCACTGTTCTCTGCATCATCAGCACATTCCTCTTCCATATTCTGTTCTTCATCACTTTTAAGCGGTAAATCTTCAGGTAACGTTGAGTGATTCGTAATTTCACTATCAACCTCATCAATTGCAATGTCATCACAATGTTCATTTTTTAAAGAATCAGCCTCATCCAGTTCATCTTGTTGAATTCTTTCCAAAATAATATCTTCTTGGTCATCAGCTTGTCCAATTTTCTCAGTGACTACTGATTCATGTTCTGACTTACTGTCTGAAAAAGACTAAAACACAAACAGTGCTATATATAATATGACAACTGCCAACTACTTTCACTACATCTATCAGGAAATGCACCCTTCCTCTCCAACACTGTACCCGAAGTCAAGTATATTTCTTCTTTGTAAATTCATTCATTCTAAATTTTAAAGGGTTTACTTGCATATAAATGTTCACAACTTGTGAAATACTGACAGAGAATTATTGTATAAATTACCTTTGGAGGAAGATACCATCCAACCATATCAGTAGGTTTGTCTAAAGGCTTTGTAGAGCTACTCCATGTGGTCTGTAATTAAACAACAAAGACATCCTCAATCTCAATTATCATTATCATTATCATAATTACTACCACCATCACATCTTTATCATCCTTCTAATGATCTTTATTATCATCATCTTTATCCTCCTCCTAATTATCATTTTTTATCCTCCTTCTAATCATCATCTTTATCATTGTCCTAATCATCATCTTTATCATCCTCCTAATCATCATCTTTATCAT